TGTCCTTTGAGTCATGAGAAGGCATGTAGGTCACTGGTTATCAAACCTTAGAATTCCATCCATGATCTTATTGCCTGGACTGACATTTTGCTGCTAAACTCTCTTAATCTCAACCCCATTTCAGTCCTATGTCATTAATGGCTCCAGCAACCACTGCTTGAAGACTTGTATAGGTTTTCAAAGCCTTCAAGATCCTGATTCACTATCTTGGAAACAGAGACAAAAGATTATACTGTCCCCAAGCTACCATATTGTTTCCCCTCAAAAGACAGATAGGTACAGATAAATTCAAATTAACCTCAGATCGGTAGTAAATATGGCGCCTAAAGTATTTGCAGTCTGGACTGGAGGGTTTTGGAACTGAATTCTGTTGTAATTAACGACCCTTCCAACAACTATGCTCAGGATCATGGTGTTACGTCTTACACCTCAACTCAATAGTTTTAATTTAAGTTCATCTCTACATAAGCTTAGCTCAACCCAGCGCAGGAGACACAGAATGAATTAATTTGAAGGAGCCGACACTGGGTATAAAAATGAGAGGGTTTTTTCGGCTGTGGCTCCAATCTGGTGGAACGCTCTGTCACAAGAGACTAGGGCCCTGTGGGACTTGACATCTTTCCGCAGGGCCTGCAAGACAGAGCTGTTCCATCACAGGGCACAGCCTGACTCCCTCCTTTGGCAATCTTCACAGAACTTTAGCCTAATGGTTGCCATCATTTTGAGTTGAATTAATTTTATAATGAAATGTTTTTAGAATGTTGTACTATTTTATTGTTGTTAGCCGCCCTGAGCCCGGCATCGGCTGGGGAGGGCGGGATATAAATAAAATTTATTATTATTATTATTATTATTATTCACACAGGAGGAGGAAATCAGTGCTATCAACCAATTATCTTGTTCTATGCTATTCAAGAGCAGAGAGAAAAACATTACAAAGCCATGAACTAAGGTGCAATTGTCCCATACTGAAGGCTTGGCTGAAGAATACAGAACAACTGAAAAAATATTTAGCAAGGTACACTAAATTTCAAAGGATTTTAAAAACTCAATTACTGTATAAAGAATGTATCCTTAAGCACCTTTGCTCCCCACAACTTACCTACCTTATTTTCACCAAGATAGAAATTCTGTGCTGGTTTACTATTTAGGTAATGCAGCCATTAGCCTCAGTTGCAAGCAACACAATTAACTGGTACTTGATAATGCTCATTTAGGTAACTGGATGCTCCAGAAAACCAATGAGGTGCAACTTAGGATAAGTGAAGTTCTCAGAAGATATGCAATGGAACAGTTGTTCTACAGGAACATTACATGCAGGAAAGAGAGAGAGAGAACAAATAAAATGACACCAACATAGGAAGATTATGTTTGAAAAGGGAATTAATAAGAAAGGTAACATTACGAGGTAAACATTTTTCCCAAACAAGTGAGAAAAAGGAGTACCTTTGTTTGATTATCAAGTTTCTCTCTTTTGTAACTGATCTCCTTTGCTCACTTTACAGATAACAGTGGAATCAAGGAGGAATTTAATGCTTTTAAAGTATGTATTGCTTTCATCTCCAAATTTTCCAGCCCCGTGCAGGTCTCCCACAGGGGTGGTCCAGGCTAGCCTACTGGTGCCTGGAAACAGCTTCAAGGATAAAGGTAGACAAATTGCACAATCCATTGCTGACATGAGCTTGTGCCTTATTTCCCTCCCCTCCAAGCAAATGCAAGGCATTACACCCACTCTCATCTCATATAGCTCAAGGGAGTATTGTTCATAAGACAGGATTTTACCACTGTCCCAAAGGATCAAATAATATTTTGGCTGGGATACGGGGACAGTACAATATTTCTGTTTAGGCATCCCAAAGGTTACTTATAGCATTAGAACGCTTGGGTGAAGTAGCGTAACATACCAAATGTTTTCGTTCCAAGCATTTATGCAGCAGGATGGAATAAATTTTCACTAATGGTAAACATTCCTGCAGCTCTGAAACACAACTACAAGATTACTCAACTGATTCAAAGTGTTTGCCACATGAAAGGGAACGACATATGTAAACTTGTTAAGCACAATCAAAGCTTTAGTCTGCACCCGTGCCAAGGATTTTAACAATAGTGCTAAGAATGCATTCTAAATAGAACAATTATGGTCGACATCCATTTACTCTTAATTTTATGATAAAGAAAACTGTCTCACTGATTTAGATCTATTTAAAAGCTCCCTTTAGATCTGCAGCATAAAGACTAAAATGCATATATATATTTGAAATGTAAGTGTTTAAGAATCAACACACAAATGCTATAGTGCTTTTTTCTTGTTGCAGGGGAAAGCATGGGATAAACCACCCCAAACCACCCCAACCACCCCAAAACTATGCTGATTAATTTAGGCTTATCAAATCAAAAGTTTTATGCAGCTGCTATTCATTGAAGTTGAGTGTTGTTGCATCCCACAGGATTTGCTCATTCCATGTGTATTAAATTCAAATATTTAAAGGCCTCCCTGTGGAAGGAAGCCACAGGGAATCAAAAACCCAAGCAATTTCTAAACTGACACATGAGGAATGCTGCTACACATGCAACAAATGCAGTCATCTGATTGCTTTGCCAAATGCACATATATCCATTCCGTGGTTGTTCACCCATTTCAGTAACTTCCTACAGGGTCAAGTGCAGGCACAGAGTTACTACCAAGACTAGGCTTGTCACTCCACAAGCCTGCTTTGGAAGCAACAATAAATATGGCTTACCACTACATGAATGAGCCTGCGGCTCATACGCTCCCCTCTCTTCCACTGCCACAAGGCAATCATAAGTTTTCCATTCCTTTTTAAATTATCTATTTAGCATTGCATCCAAACCTGAACTGTAGGTACTCTTAACTACAGTTTATTGAAACAAGCCAGCTTCATAAACCATAGTTTTCTGGATTCAGACAATGCTGAAATGTATGGTTAAACTAAAAAGGAAACAAACACTTTCAAAATCTTCCTTGTTGCAGCTCATACATACAATGGCCAGCTATGGTTTAGTGTTACATTTTAAGGACTCTGTGGAAGCCAGCCAACTTCAAACCATATTTTATAAAGCTGGCTTGTCACTAAACACAATTAAGATTGACCACAGTTTAGGGTTCAGCAGTAAAGGTAAACTGTGGTTAATCTATAAAGGAAGCAGAAGCTTCTGAACTCCTCACAGCTGTATTGGCAGGGGAGAACACAGAAGCCTATGGTTTAATGAACCAGGCCAGTACCTAAGGCACAAGCTGGTAGCATTTGAGAGAGATTCTATTAAGAAATGCATGGGATTGTGCATATATTATCCCGTGCTGGATACAGTAATCTTAAACCATTACTGCAGACTTTGTGATAAATGTGCCCGCAGCAACCTATTTCCACATACATTTGCTAGACTGAGAGTTATGACAGTAGCATTTCCTAAGAACCGAACTTAACACAGACATAAAAAAGTATTTATTGGTTATGAGCCAGTTTTCAATATGGGACTGGAGGAACCATTTTTATCATGCTTAGGATATATCAACAAAGCAGTGGGGTGGGGGGGAATCCCTTATACAGTGGTGCCCCGCAAGACGAATGCCTCACAAAACGGAAAACCCGCTAGACGAAAGGGTTTTCCGTTTTTTGATGCGCTTCGCAGGACGAATTTCCCTATGGGCTTGCTTCGCAAGACGAAAATGTCTTGCAAGTCTTGAGATTTTTTTTCGCTTTCCCCCCCCCCCTTTTTCTAAGCCGCTAAGCCGCTAATAGCCTTTTAGCCGCTAAGCTGCTAAGCCGCTAAGCCTTTAATAGCCGCTAAACCGCTAATATCGCTAATCCGCTAATAGGGTTGCTTCGCAAGACGAAAAAACCGCTAGACGAAGAGACTTGCGGAACGGATTAATTTCGTCTTGCGAGGCACCACTGTAGGTCTTTTATCTTAAAAGCCCATAGAAACTGCACAAAGCCATAGCTTTACAGAAATGCTCTTTCCTCCACAAATTGGATATGCAATGAGTACACTGAACAATATACATGTACAACAGTTGTACACACTGTGTATATATATATACACACAATTAAATGAGTTTAGTATTTCCCTCTTACCAATCTAACCATTTAATTATTTAAAAGTGCATATAGAAGCTAATAGTTCAACTTTGCATGTCATTTGTGCAAGCGATAGCTTATCAACTCAAGGAGAATCCTGTTCCGTTTCCCATTTACATTGCAAATACCGAAAATGGAGGACGGATGGCTTTGTGAACATGTTGCATAAATCCTACCCAGTGGAATAATGCTCATTGATTTCAATTATGTGTCACAGAAAGAAATCTGCATTTATGTATTTGCTGTATTTGTGTGAGGTGAGACACTCAATTTACACCAATCCCCTATCACAGTTCTCTCATTCTCTCCTGGCAGATCTCCCAGTGCTCTAGAGCAGGGTTTCCCAAACTTGGGTCTTCAGCTGTTTTTGGACTACAACTCCCATCATCCATAGCTAGCAGAACCAATGGTCAGGGATGATGGGAATTGTAGTCCACAGACAGCTGGAGACACAAGTTTGGGAAACCCTGCTCTAGAGCAACTTTTCATGGGTCCGTAGAGGATGTAGTCGTTGCGGAGGTCAGAAAATATTGGGTGCCCTGCCTTGTCCAAGAAGAAGTGCTTTCTGCTGGTGCAAGGCCATCACCAGATATAATCTTAGTGCCATATTCATACAGAGACTTGATTCATTGAAAGGTCGATTTTATTTGAGAAAATAAAGCTGCTATGTAAGCTATGAAACCAGTAAACCTAACACACAGTCAAAATAATACTGAAGCATATTCTCAGGGATTATCCAGTTCTATCAGAATCATCACCATATTCAATATCACATATTCAGTAATCATAGACAGTAACAAGCATGGCCACATCCCCACACCTGATTCTACAGCACTATCGGTGTTGCTGGACTCTTGATACTGGATTAATGGTTCTCCATCGGCGTGATAATAAAATAAATAAAAGATGGCTTAGTCGGTAGAGCAGGAGACTCTTAATCTCAGGGTCGTAGGTTCAAGCCTCACATAGGAAAAAAGATTCCTGCATCGCAATGGGTTGGGTCCCTTCCAACTCTACAATTCTATTATTCTATGAAAACAGTTCCAGAAACTAAATATAGTTTGCTAGAAACGGACAACATAAATGTATTTCTTCAAGAAAGCTCTAAAATGAATTGTAGACACTAAAAACAAATGGATATTACCCTTCCAGCCATAGTTACCATACTTTTATGTGTACAAGATGCCCCCATGTATAAGACTCAAATTGGGGGACTCAAATTTAAGAAAATGGAGGGGAGAAGGCACCGAGTTGTTGAGCTATGGAAGGGGATTGCTGAAAATCGCTCACCTGCACCCGTCACAAAATCTGCCACGTCTGTCCCCCTCGCCGGCAGAAGCTGCCAATCACATGCCCAATTGCTGCACCTTCAGCCAATCAACACCATCCATTTATACAGAAACCAATCACACGCACAATAGCTGCTAACAGCCGCGGCAGCAACCAATCAAACATCCACACTATGCACGACCCATGTATAAGACGACCCCCATCTTTTGGCATGATTTTTAAAGGAAAAACCCTAGTTTTATACACGGAAAAGGCCAGAAAGCAGTTATAAATGCCACTGATTTTAACAAGGGGTGGGTCCTATGCAACTTGCCTAGGAGTGAGCCCCACTGAACTCCATGGGAATCACTTCCAAGCACATGCAGACCAGACTGCACTGCCAAACACATACTCTACCAACGGCTAACCACTTTTGCTTCATTATTCCCATTTGAATATTTGTATTTACATGCACATATATCCAAGTAACTACACTAATTAGGGCAGAGAAATTTGTTTCGGTAAATAACCATTGCTGCTGCCATGAGTGCTGGAAGGAAGACCTGCTCCCTGCTGCAAGGCCCATTTCCACCTGGCCCAGGAGGCGGGGCCCAGACTCACCCTGAACAGCTAAAAGAGGCTCTTGGGAGGCCACTGGGACATTGCTGGAACAACTCTTGGTTTGGGGCAACTTGCTAAAATGTTTAAATTGTTTTAAACGGTTCTAGTTTTGGTTCCTCTGTTTTGTTTTTGTGGGGTTGGTGTTGGTTAAACGTTTAGGTGGAGTTGGTGGTTACTTTAATTTGGGTATAACTGTAAACTGTTTATTGTTGTTGTTGTTGTTGTTGTTGTTGTTGTTACTGTTATTCTTGATTTCTACTGATTTATTTATTTATTGGTTGGTTGGCTGCTTATATAGGATATTTTGTTTTTCAATGTTTGATGTTTTGTTGTGTTTTTATATATGTTGTAAGCAGCCTAGAGTGGCAGGGGAAACCCAGCCAGATGGGTGGGATATAAATTTTAAAAGAGAAAAAGAAATATTTGATCGAAATAATCAACCAATATTTCCACTTGTGGAACAATTCAAAATCCTTCCAATGGGAGTGCAATCTAGTTGTAGATCTTTAGATGATTTCTAGGGTGCCCAACTCCCAAGTGCAGTAGCAACAAAAAGGCTTCCATTGGTACCCCTTTTCTATAGTAATTTATATGCAGAAATTTATCTTATGTGTGTAAGTTGTCCCAGTGTGTACTGCAGATAATTAGCTCCATCTCTCGGCCACCTTTTTGAATCTAGCTTTGCTCCTATAAGCCATTTTTTGTACCCATCTGTGGTAGATGGACATCAGGATTCTTACAAAAAAACAATGTTGATCACACAATAGTTTCCTCACGTTTAACTTGCCTCGACTTTAAGGCTACATATCTTACTGCCGACTGTGGCAGCAATCCACAAACCTGTCAAGCCTTACCACCTGGGCTTAAAGTGAATTTAAGGAAAATTAATATCCTTTAAATCACATCTCATCGTTTGACTTCAAATCTTGGATATGCATCACATTCAATGAATGTTACAGCTTGAGATCACAAGCTGTAGACGTTCTATCTATAATAATAAATCTCGAAATAGCTCATTCAAACTCGCAAAACGAGAGATGGGACAGCCCATAGAATGAGACAGATTTTTAAAAAGAAAAGAGAAAGGTAAGAAGTGGGAATATTTATTGAAGATATAACCCTCTAGTTACCTTACCAAGCCAGGACACATCAATATTCTTTGCCCTACTCTTGTTTTTCCTGAAACACATCAGGTAATTTATAAGCATCATGCATTTATGGAAGACCAGTTCAAAGCATCTTCGCCCCTTTTCATCCATGTGTAAATTATTTGATGTTGTACTTATTAAACAGTTTTATTTATTTATTGCCTTTCTATCCCACCTTTTTTTGCCCTTCTTCATTCAATCCCCACATCAACCCTGTGAGGTAGGTATGGCTGGCCACACCCAGTTAGTTTCATAGCTGAGTGGGGATTTGAACCCTTGTATCCCAGGTCTTACTCCAACACTCTCACCACACCACCACACTGGCTCTCACAACAGACATGTGAAATTACTTGATGCTACGCATGTTAACTCAGAAGTCAGTCAATGAGACCAATTTTGAAATCAAAGAATCACTTCAAAAACAGTCATTCTAGCAAATGCCCAAAATGACAGACTTAGATGAACTAAAGTAATTGCAATTTTTCTTGAGTCATTAAAGTTATGAAAGTTTTTATGGTAAATGAACAATTCCAAAGGAAAACCTTTTGAAGTTCACAATTATTTTTTTTACAAAAACAAACAAGCAAGCAAATCTCAGGACTGAAATATTTTTTTCATTTTTAAGTGGCAAGACGGCATTCAGGCTAGAATGTGCAACATTATCTAGACTACCACATTAAAATAAATGAGTGAATCACTCCACTTGTATTACCAATATAGACCACTAGTAAATCTACTTATGATCTAACAGCTTTGTATGTTTATTTAAAAGTAAGTCCCACTGTGTTCAATGGTACTTACTCCCAAGTAAGTGTGCAAAAGATTACAGCCAGTGATTGCAATTTGCATGATTTCCTGGGAGTTAGGTCCCATGGGTTTTCTCCTGGGCAAACATGCATAAGATTAAACTTAGACTTGGACTTCCATCTTCCCTTAAGTGATGTTCTCAGCAAGTACCAGCTTTACCTATCAATTTTTAGCAGTTTGAGACACATGTCCATCCAATCAAAAGAGCATCACCCTACAGACAAAATGCTTTGCAACTATGAGAAGCAACTATTGGAATTCACAACAAAATGCATTCACATAGCATTTGAGTACTTCAGTCAGGCCTATTAACTTTGTGTGTATGTCACATTAGTAGAAAAGGAGCCTCAAAAAATGTAAACTCTTGAACCTGTTAAATAAAAAGGAGTTCTGCATCCTCAGTCTACCACCAAATGCATTCCGTTTATTCACATTTAACACGCTAAACGGTCTGACCAAAAATCAATAGAACTGAATCAACTTTAACCTAAGCATCTCAACGCAGCTGTTCTAGATATTCAACTACAAGGCCTGATTTGTTCCTTTTAATAGAGTTTCTGCTGTAATATTTAAAACTAGGATGTAGCTTTAATTCGAATACCACAAACAGCGAGGATCCACCTAGGTATTTCTTTTAAGTATTTCATCTGTAGGGATCAACCACCAGGCTGCAAAATATTCGGTGGTCACTGGGGGTGGGGAGAGAGAGGGGCTTGTTTGTTTTTTTTAAGTCCACTTTATTTAGCAATGAAATACATCTGTATTTCGTAGGTAAGCCTCCCGTCTCGACTCCGTTTGTATTATCTCCAGCTCGGAAACTTCCCCCCAGCGAAGCGCCTATTTCATTTCCTGCCCTCTGAAAGCTCGCCAGCTCTTGATCCTTGGGGGAGATGGACTGACCATGACACTCTCGCCGACGAGGAGGGAAGACCAGACCCAGGAAGGGGGAAAACCAGCGCGCTCGTGATCGTGCACTTGCAAAGCGCGCCGATCAATTCCCCAAACATTTCATCTGTTGCTGCAGATCCCCAGCGCTTGCAGCGAGCAACGCACAACAAAAGCCTCGCCTGAGACTCCGCGCCTCTCGCACGCAGCGCTCTGCCTCCTCCTCTACGCGGGGACCCTCCTTTCCCCCTTATTTAAAAAGAGTCATCAAGGTGGGGGGAACCCGGGCTACTCACCGCTTGCGTGGCCAGCCGCCCGCCTCGGGCCAGCCGCCCCATCCCACGAGCGCACAATGCAGCGAGCGAGGCTGGCGGCGTGCACTGCAGTCCTGCTCTGGAACGCTCAGCCTCCCCGACACTCCCGCCAGCCAATGAGAGCGCCGCAAGCCGCGCTAAATTCTTGGGCTGCCTCGCCATTGGCCAGCCAATTAGCGTGGCTTGGCTGATCAGAGGGGTTGAGACGAGCTGCAGGGCTGGTCGCCCGCGTTGCAAGGCGGAGAGAGAGAGAGAGGCAGAGGAAGGAGGAGAAGCCGCCTTGGCTTCGCCTCGCAGCCCTTCGACCCACCTCCGGGACTGGAAGTTCCTCCACAGGTCACGAGAGATCACCCCTTGTGCCCATCGCTTTGGGGTTGCAGGTCACAGAATCCATGGAATGATGCTCAGATCCTTCTGGGGCGCCTATGGAACCCCCTGCCACCAGGAGTGCCAACTTCAATAAAATATGGGGGGGCCAGGCAAGCCCCGCCCCGCAAAATCGATCACAGGACATGGCACATGCACGGCATTTGAATGATGGCAATGCCCATTAACTTTGGGGGGCAGCCCCCTCAAGTATTTGGGGGGGCTGAAGGGACCTTGGTCCCTAGGAGTTCGCTCTGATGCCTGCCAGACTTCCCCAGTCACCGAAGCATTTCTGTTTCCCGCACCCCAAAAAGAGCCCCGTCATATTAGAACCCAAACCCTCTCCCAATGGCACCATGACAACAAGATGCTGCTGGAATGCAGGCCACAAACCTGAGCACAGGACTGGGCTGCTTTTTCCAGTAGCTGGAAAAGACACCACCGCCACTGAAAATTTGTGGCAAAATATGCCCCCAAAGGCCCAACTTTCCTTCTGTGACAGGCCACCTGTGATTGGGTCCCACATCTTAGGAAGTGGGATGCCTTCCGTCTGCCATTTCTTTCCCCTGCCTTCATTCCTATGCTACCTTAACCTCCCATCCTCTGCTGCTCTCCTATGGGCAGCTTCACCTGTTGCCCCCTTACAGTCAGAGTATGGTTTTTGCCCTGTCACTCCTCCCCCCCCCCCAATAGTAAGACACATTACTTCCCTCACCCACTGTATCTCTTTGGTCCTCGTCCCAGACATCTGCAGATGTTTTCATGATTGACCTGTTGCATGAATGATAGATATCACCTGGGCAACCTAAAACGAATACTGTGATTCTTCAAAACAGGGTCAGGGTCCATCGGGATCCATTGCTTCAGGAACCGAGTGCCAAATTCTGACCAGATGCCCTACAGAAGCAGCAGCCCCCTACCCCACCACTGGAGGTGCCTCCATGAAGCTCTCCCTCACCTGTTCCTGCCTGAGAATGTGCCTTAAAGGGATAGTGTGTATATAGCCTGAATGCATCACGTGATCTCTCTCTCTCCCCCCCCCCCCGCCTTTTTTAAAACAGTAACAGAAGCAGGAAGGGGCACCAATGGAAGCTTCTATCTCAGGACTAATACTAGGAATGTTGGGAGGGGGTAGATTTTTTTGGCAAAACTATGGCAAAAAGGTTATCAAACCTTGACACTACATTCCCAGTGAGATTCAGGTGTGTTTCAAGAAAAGCAGCAACAAATGGAATGTTTACTATCACATTCAGCTGGGCCCAGAGATACAGTTTGCCAGTCCAGGATTCATAGATAGATAGATAGATAGATAGATAGATAGATAGATAGATGTCGTTACTGCATACCGATGATGAAAGGCAGATTTTACTGGAGGCTGCAGGGGTGGAGGGTGGGCTGAAGCAACAGATTTAGGATACCACTGAATGCCATCAAAATATCAATTATTTAGCATAGTATTAGATTTTTTTACTACCATTGGTGTGAGAGTGGGAGCATGGGACTTTTTTTGCCTCAAACATCAAAATACATTGGCCTATCTCCTGAAATAACTTCTAGGTGGGTTTTGAATCCTGACACCTATCTTTCCACATTTCTTGTGACTAGGATACAGTAGTTACCGTAAGTGTTCTCCAGACACTAAAAATATTCACTAAAGGCAGCCCTAAATAACCAGAGTTTTCAGCTATGCATATTTAGCAATATGTAATTCAATCCAGACAGTGCAGACGAGTGTGAACAATTCATTGGCTGTGGAATAAATCAAGACAGGAAGCCAGCCAGGTTTCACAACTAGGCTGCAGGGATTTCTCTAGTTTCCTCTCACAAATGAAGTTACAGGTCTCCAGCATGTGGCAGAACGGTGGAGCCAACAGGCAAGGGGAACTTAGGGGTAAGTCTTGCTCATTGTTTACTTCATACTCCATAAATGTTAATTAAATTGGACACAAAACAAGTGCAGATCTTTGGCACAGTGCTTGTTCAGTCTTGGTTCACTTGAAGTAAAAGTCTATTCAGAATTTTCCCATGCTCAATGCAATTTTTTTTTAATGCATTAATTGACATGGTTTTACAAGGGTCTAGCAGATTAGATCATGCATTAGGCCACATCCATTGGCTTCCAGTTTGGTTTTGGGTTCAATTCAAAGTGCTGATTATGTCCTTGAAAGTCTTAAACTGGGGTGAGGAACCTTTTCAGTCCAAGAACCACATTCCTTCATGGACAGCCTTCTAGGGGTTGTGGGAATGGCAAGAGACAAATGCAGAAGAGAGACCAGAAAGATGAAAGTGAGGAGAGCAATGGCTATGACTCTTACCCTTTTATAGTAGACTACATTCCAGCTTTGCAAAACTAAGAAGTCTCCACACATACACCTGTCCATTCTTGATCCAGGCAAGCATCAAGGACTCATTCCAGCCACAGTTTGGTGTTGACACTAAATAAACAAAATATTTAATGTGTTGCAGTTCCAACCAACTTTAACACTCTTTTTTCAGATGTTCAGAGAGAACACTTGCTGAAACCAGACAATGGGGGGGGAGCAATATCCCCGTGCATGCAAAGTGCACTTGGAACCTTCCCTGTGATCAGAAACGCTGTTCTTATGCCACTGCAGCCCCCCACCATACATTTTAGGCCTTGCTAAACCCCCGCCCTTGCCTCACAAGATGCCTTTCAGGGGCTTCAGTGCCCCTCTTTCAAAAGAAGGGTTTTGCTTACACAACAGTGGATCGAATCATTAGCAGCAGGAACTGCTACTGCCATCATCTGTAATGCTCATGCCGTATTTAAACTTTTTATGGCCTGCACTTGCCGTTTCTGACTTCTTTTTTATAAGATATTTATTAAGATTTTCAAAATATTGCAAAATAAAAAAAAAGAAAAAGAAAAATACAAAATAGAAATAGTTAAAAACAATTCAGTCTTTCCATCACTTATCTTTCATTTGCTTATTTCCCGGACCTCCTCACACCTCCCTTTTTTGTATTCCAATTCAGTTTGTTAGCTCAGCAAATCCCTCCCCTCTTTGTTTATCCTAGTCTTCAATCTTAAAGTATTGTAACATTAGATTTTTACCTATTAATAGTCCATTTTTTCATATTCCCTTATAACATTACAGCTAAAAACCACTTAGTTTCTATCCAACATCATTCTAACATTCATTAATTTTACAATATTTCTGTAAATAGTCTTTAAACTTTTTCCAATCTTCTTCCACCGACTCTTCTCCCTGGTCTCGGATTCTGCCAGTCATTTCTGCCAATTCCATATAGTCCATCACCTTCATCTGCCATTCTTCCAAAGTGGGTAGATCTTGTGTCTTCCAATACTTTGCAATAAGTATTCTTGCTGCTGTTGTGGCATACATAAAGAAAGTTCTATCCTTCTTTGGCACCAATTGGCCGACTATGCCCAGCAGGAAGGCCTCTGGTTTCTTTAGAAAGGTATATTTAAATACCTTTTTCATTTCATTATAGATCATCTCCCAGAAAGCCTTAATCTTTGGGCACGTCCACCAAAGGTGAAAGAATGTAGCTTCGTTTTCTTTACATTTACAACATTTATTATCGGGCAAATGATAGATTTTTGCAAGCTTGACTGGTGTCATGTACCACCTGTATATCATTTTCATAATATTCTCTCTTAGGGCATTACATGCCGTAAATTTCATACCTGTAGTCCACAACTGTTCCCAGTCAGCAAACATAATGTTATGTCCAACATCTTGTGCCCATTTGATCATAGCCGATTTAACCGTTTCATCCTGAGTATTCCATTTCAACAGCAAGTTATACATTCTTGAAAGTATCTTTGTTTTGGGATCTAACAGTTCTGTTTCTAATTTTGATTTTTCCACCTGGAAGCCAATTTTCTTGTCCGTTTCTGACTTTTTTATGCTTTGACATTTTTCAAGTTTTCAAAGAGACGGTTGGATTAATTTCCCGTCAAACAGGGACAGTGCATGCAAATGGAAAACGGCAAAGTTCTGTTGGCCAAACTGGCTCTTCCTATGAGGTGAGTGCGGCAACTCCATTCATCCTGTTTGAAGTTTTAATGAAATGTCCTTTGTAAAATCCTCAATACTGTGGTGGCTGCTAAACAAAGAATAGTTTAAATCAACTCGGGCAGCAGCAGCAGCTGGAAAAAGAGGATGGCCCAGTAATGAGAAGCGGGGCTGAGTCTGGCCCAACACAAATTGGAAATAAACAGTGTGGCTCTGAAACAGATCAGGTTGCTTCCCAAAGCTACAAATGCAAGTCAAATATTGTGGCTGGTGCACACCGCTAGAGTAAGACCGTTTGAAGTAAGTGAAGCAATAACATTACCATCTTAAGATCATTTAATTCAGTCTAAAATTATGAGTGCATCACTGGCTGGAAATCTCTCATCTAGAATGAATGTGTTGAGCATTATATATTGCTTCTTATGGTGTTAATTACTTTAAAAAACAATGGACTACACCTATTAATGACTGCCCATGCAATCCTAACCTCATTTACCTGGGAGTAAGCCCTACTCAATCAAATGGAACTTATTTCAGAGGAGAAAGAGTTAGGATTGCTGCCAAAATTAATCCAACTGATTGCAGTCTGTGACTTAGTATAAGAATTTTTGGGATGAGTTAAGCTAAGAAATAATTTTTTAAAAAGAAAACAGAATATTCTTCACTGCATGTCATGCTCTAAGCTTCCATTTTAAAAAATTGTTTATTTTGTGAGTTCTTCTGAATGCCCACACAGGACTTATTTGTTTTGTTTTGGGGAAATGCACTTAATTCCTTCTGTTTTCCTCCATTGATTATAGAATACACAAAAAGAAGCAGCTCTGGGAACATGCCAGAAAACGCAGGGACAATGTAAAATATTTCTAAGCGAGGATCACTACAGTCCGTGGGAGGAAAGTATTTTGCAGAAGTGGAATCTGTGATTGGTGCAAATTAATGAGGAGCTTCAGAAAGGCTGTAAAGATCTCATTAGGCGAAGTTCGTCGAGGATTACATCTTTGTTTTCTTAATTTCACCTTTAAATGGTCTTTAAATGGAAAGAATAATTACGCCATGAGACAGAAAGGGATAGGCAGTGGTGAATCAGATTTCACAGCTCAATAGTTTCAACTTTAGCCGTTTACTATGTTAACTTAGGCAGGAAAAATGAAGCACATCTATCGCTGGCTCTAGATCACCTACAGCAGACCAGTGAACACAGCCCCAGCTTTTCACCAGATGAGCTAATTCTACCCAGTGCTGACTGGACTGGGACCAGCACTTGTGAAATTAATGGAACATAAACATCTGGTGCGGATTTTGCCATTCTCCCACCCCACATATGAGCCACTGGCTCACCATATCTGATTTCCAGAAAAGCCGTTATTATGCCAAAGGACCCACCAGATAGCTTTGATTAACAAGGTTAAATGCCAATAAGAGCTTCACACACCAAGTATGCACAAATTATTGTTCATTTGCCGTGGCATGTGGAATTGGCTATGTGAATCATCATAAACTGTTCCCAACCGTCATGTGGGTGTCTTAAAAAATGTTAACAAAAAGAACACCATCAAGCCCAGGCAAAGTTGAGGACTTTTTGAGCCCTCTTTATTTCACGAGCAAAATGAAACATCACTGTTGTTTTTAGAGCTAGTAAAACAGGGTAAAAATTCCTATTTTATGAGCTCTTAACCATTATATCATAATTATTATTATCATCATGCAGGACCTGTAACACAAGGTTGGAGTATATATTCAGGGATCCAATCAACACAGAACAGCAGCTTTATAGTGCTATTCAAGGGAGAAGGAGAAGGAGAAGAAGAATTTGGTTTCGATATCTCGCTTTATCACTACCCTAAGGAGTCTCAAAGCGGCTCACATTTTCCTTTCCCTTCCTCCCCCACAACAAACACTCTGTGAGGTGAGTGGGGCTGAGAGACTTCAAAGAAGTGTGACTGGCCCAAGGTCACCCAGCAGCTGCATGTGGAGGAGCGGAGACGCGAACCCGGTTCACCAAATTACGAGTCTACCGCTCTTAACCACTACACCACACTGGCACACTGGAGAAGCGTAAGAAGGAGTGAAAATAATGAGGTTGCTGATAGGATGTAGTGGCTGGTGTTGAACTCAGGCCTGGATTCAAATCCCCATCCAGAAAGACACTCGCTTAGTAGCCTTGGGTTAGTCACTGTCACTTAACCAAATGCACTTCACAGGGTTGTTGCAAGGATAAAAATAATGTAGGCCACCTTGAGCTCTTTGGAGCCAAGATATAAACACAATAATAAAATTAAAAATAAACTACGCTTCCAACCACTACCGCTGAGACCTTCTCTTGATGTGCTATGTATTGTAAGAGGGCTGCTGACCCCAAACCTGATAATTTTATAGCTGTATAATGGCAGATGGAAGATGAAATTCTAAGGAACAAGCTACTCCCTCTTTTTGACAGACCTCCATTCTCCTTCTCCCACCTGACACTGTTCCCTGGCGTGAAAATTAACCATTTCATTGTATGCGTTTTTGACTAATATATTCACTTTTATGCACCCTGTCCCCTAATATATGTCATGCTTCGATTTGCTTAATGTTTCAGAAAGTGTGCATCTGATAGATTTGCCTTTAAATGAGAACAAAATCAAATTTCTCCCCCATCCCTATAGCCAATAGGCATGGACGAGAAGAGTTGTAGTCGAGCAATATCTGGACGGCCATGGTTTCCCTACCCCTGTTCTAGACCTTCCAGTCATTTTCATTACAGTTGACCATGGTTCCAGCTTGCCACTTGGGTTGAGGACAGCTACATTAGTAAAGGAACAGTGGTTTGAATGCGCTATAAACATGCAACAACAGATGGCACCAGAGCGCAGGAAATTTTAAAACATGATTTCCCATAAAGATTCTTTTCTTTGGTTATAACGATCTAATTTCTGACTTATTTGTAGCGTTTTTTTCCTGTGTCTAGATCCACCCTGCTATTTTGTAGAGGTTGGGTAGCTTGTTCATTTTGTTTCAATATTCCTTTCTGACCCAAATCCACCCTGGGCAATTAATATACAGTTGTACCTTGGATCCCAAACGCCTTGATGTTCGGATGTTTTGGCTCCCAAACTCTGCAAACTTGGAAGTGAGTGTTCCAGTTTGTGAACGTTCTTTGGAACCCGAACGTCCAACGGGGCTTCCACGGCTTCCGATTGGCTGCAGGAGCTTCCTGGTTTCTGAACGTTTTGGAAGTCAAATGGACTTCCGGAATATATTCTGTTCGACTTCCAAGGTACAACTGTATAGCATAAAAATGCAATACAAATACAGCACAATGTCATAAGGGAACTTGAACATTATGGGGGGGGGGGAGGGGACATAATGAACCAACTTGACTCTATGTCAGGCTCTAGCAGATACCCTCAGGGGATAGGATCTCAGTCCTGGGAGTTCTAAGCCTCTGATCCAGATCACTTACAAAGGAAAGCAAAGGCAACTGGTCAGCTTACTTCAAGCAAGCCAAGCTCAAACACTGGGAATCAGCCTGGGTCCAGAACATACAAGGCAAAGTGGCTATCACACAACAGACAGATAAGGCTGTATAGTGGTACCTTGGGTTACAGACGCTTCAGGTTACAGACATTTCAAGTTACAGACTCCGCTAACCCAGAAATATTACCTCGGGTTAAGAACTTTGCTTCAGGATGAGAACAGAAATCGCATGGCGGTGGCAGCGGAGGCTCCATTAACTAAAGTGGTACCTCAGGTTAAGAACAGACCTCCGGAACAAATTAAGTTCTTAACCCGAGGTACCACTGTGTATTTATCACCTATATATATCATTTATATATATCACCTACCGTAGATTCTGGCGTATTAGGCGACTGGGTGTAT